TATCGCTTGGGAGGGGGGTATAAGAAGAATGGCCTAAAGATATAAGATATTATAGTTATGAAAATGGATGAATTGTCGGTGATTTCATAAACGTAATGTGTGTCCTTGGTCGGTGGTTCGACGGTGTCCCCGCACAGAAGTGTGTGTTCTGAAGAGCCAATAATGGGTTGGATAATCCTATTGTGTGAGCGGAGTAGCCTTAATGAGTGTTGGCCCCGCGGTGTCTTGGAGGAGTCCGTGGGAAAGGTGGATCCTATTGTCGGTGGAGTATCTTTGGGCGCGTGGTCGTGTGAGGTCCATTATGAATGGAAGAAAGGGTTGAAAGTGGTAGCGCCCTGCAGTAATGGGGAATGCCAAATGAGCATGTATGGGATCGTAAGGGACGGAGGCGGTGCCCTCTGTGTGCGCGAGGTGTGGCGGAGCTCGCTGGCGACGGATTATCTATATTTTTTTAATGTTTAATTTTTTATGTTTGACCTTGGTTTATATTTAGAGATGATGTTATTGTCTATTTTGAACCATTTTTAACCGACGAAACGAGATAAAAGCGGGGGAAAATCTGCGTTTATACAATGCCGAGCGCAATCTAAGCTGTGCAACATGAATATCTATCAAGAAATACAAAATTGTCAAACGTACGAAAAGATAGGCTTTCTCTTGGCTACCGTTGGACTCAATGACGACGAGAGGGAGTACGCTCTTCACAGACTTTGCGAGTTAAAAACTATGTCATCTACCAGAAAACTCTAACGCTCAGATACGCCTCCGTTAGAGGTTCCAACGCAGAATTGTTTCCCGCGATTAAATCATTTGGCCCGTATGGTATCGGAGTCTCAGTTAAGCCAACTCGCCTCTAATCTTATAAAGGAGCGTGATGACGTCGGGCGTAAACCTTGGGAAAAGCTCGTTTCTTTTCTCGGATTATCGGAAGCAGATATTTACAATCATAAGGTAGAAAACCACTATAATCCGTGGGGACAGTGTTTTTACGCGCTTGTGCAGTGGTTTCATCGTACCCATAAACAGGCTACTATCGAAAAAATCATAATGGGTTGTCAGCAATGCAACATAATGCGCTGCGCATATGAATTTTTGTGTCCAGAGTAACAATGAAAACAAACAATTGTCGAGATGATTTCAAAGAGTCTTTAACCTTGATGGTCTCAATGCAGTCTCAGAATTTCGTAATGAGATGGAACAGAGGACTCAAGAACCTTTGGATCTATCTCACAAAGCCTTAATTATACCTGAAGAGGGATCCAGGAAAAGAGCTTTGTTGGAAAAACGAATGACGGAGCCATCGAAGACACCGAAAGTGGTTAATCCGACAACCGCGTCTAGCGCGAGATTTAAATTGACAAACAGCCGGCACGTTGTTATTGAACCATTCAACGAAAAAACGTACATTAAAATTAGAGATTATTACCAAGTGAAAAATAAAGACTTCTCATTGGCTCCTGGACGAGGGATTAACCTTACTGTTTCGGACTTGGAGCTGCTCAAGACAATGATACCGACCATTGATGAAGCCATCAATGAATTAGATCTATGTATTGGTTAAAAAAAATTGACAGTGATCTCAACGGTGTTGGAAATGGATAAAAGGGCAGGGGTTCGGTCTTGGAGACCATCTTGCTCAATCAACTCATCGCACGGTATCATCATCGCCATCAGTCTCCGTCACCAACATCACCAGAAATATACGAAAAAAAATAAAAGAAAATTACACACTGACATATCGTGAACAAACATCTTTCGAATGATGTTAGCTTACTCTCAATATATGTACATAGCAAAAAACAAAAGAAGAGAGACTCATTGAATTCGTCTTCCCCTGTGAGATCGATGATCTCCGGTTGCTCTTCCATCACCTCTTCCACATCCGAAGCTGCGTGATAAGCAAGAAAAGATTGGCAAGATATTTTAGCCGTATAGGGGTAGTGGCTAAACTTGTGCTTCGAAAGGAGCTAGCCACAACATACCATGGAGGAATTCCTCCATGAACATACACACCGAAGTAAAAACGTAATATAACTTACCCATGTCCCACTCTAGGACGGGAACTGCTGCCGGTGGAGACGGCGGTGCCACTTGCCCCCACATTGGATCGTCGTTGGTGAGGGCCTCCAGCATAACCCACTCCTCCAGATCCCTCCTATGACAACGAAGTCGTCATCGACCTGACTGGATCCGATGACGTTAAGTTGTTTTCTAGTTATTATTTTGTTTTCCTTTGTTTAGAACAAACCAGCAAACATACCACCAAGTCGGTTCACGATAATAAGGTTTTGTCTTTCTTTTGTAGAATCTTGCATGGAAGCCGAGGCGCCTCCACCAAGCCCTGCTTCCTCTCTGGCGTGGAGCCTATCGCCTCTTCCCAGCCCGGAGGCCTCGCCATTGGCGTGGCCTCTACCACCCACCCCGCCATCGAGCCCCGAGGCCGCAAGCCCCCCGCCTTCTCCTGTCATGAGCCCTGAAGGCTGGAACCGACCACCCACGCCTCCCATGACTCCACCACAGGTACCACTAAACGAAGATGTCCTCCTCGATCCTGAGGAGGAAGTAAGGAATCATTTAATTTGTCATTTTGCACTCATAATTCGAATTATGTTTCAAACATTCATTCACTCACGGTGCAACGGGTGCATAATCGATCACCCATCCCAATTACAGCACTCGTGTATTACGGAATCCCCAGATTATTTATTTGATTTATATATTGATGACATATTGGACGATCTTCGTAGGGATAGCGAGATGGGTCTCCAGGGCTGGCTGGCAAGAGTTCAAGCCAGCCCCTTTCTCAGATCTCGCTATCTCTACGAAGATTTCGCAATTATCGATTATTTTGATTTTTTATACATAGAATTACAAACAGCTTGCACTTAAGAAGCACTAAAATCTTATGTAGAAGAATAAAGGCACCCGTTGCACCCTGAGTGAATGTATGTTTTGTAAATAATGACTTTTAATTTTTAATTATTTTTGCATTTTAATATTAATGTTTCATACTTGCGCTTTACTTTTTATTTGAAAAATTGAAAGCTTGTTTTTTTGTTTTAAATGCACTGTTTAAAACTTTGAGTTTTCTTTAGATTTTGTATTTTTGTTGAAACATTTTGACTTTCCTATGCAATTGTGTTTAGAGATGCGAATTGTATGCAAAAGTGTGTGTGTTAATAATTTATTTTTTCATTTTAATATTATTGTTTCATACATTTGCTTTACTTTTTATTTGAAAAATTGAAAGCTTGTTTTTTGTTTTAAATGCACTGTTTAAAACTTTGGGTTTTCTTTTGATTTTGTATTTTTGTTGAAACATTTTGACTTTTCTATGCAATTGTGTTTGGAGGTACGATTTTTATGCAAAGGTGTGTGTCATAGAGTTTAATTAAATTGAAAGAAAAAGTATATCAGTTTCAAAGGCAGCGTTATTTAAATGTGTATTTAAGGTTTACGAAATATAATAGGCTGTCATTTTGAACTTGAGCTCCGACGGGATAGGACCATGGAAAGTTATCTGAAGACATTGTTTTACGATATTGGTGCGGAAAGTGGTTTGGGCAGTGTTGAAAAATTGTATCGTGCAGCCAAACGGGCGGGAATATATAAGATAACGCGAAAACAAATGCGGCACTTTCTACGTGGGCAGGATGCTTACACGCTGCATAAGCCAGCTAGGAAAAGATATCCACGAAATAAGGTTATGGTCGTGGGTCGGGACGAAATTCACCAATTGGACCTGGTAGATCTATCTAATTTATCCAAATACAATACAGGCTATAGATACTTGCTGACTTGGATCGACGTGTTTCCCAAATACGCCTGGGTTATTCCGTTAAAAAATAAATCGAGCAAGGCGCTGGTGAATGCTTTCAAGACCAAGGTCAGATCTAGCGGCAGACCTCCCGTGATGATTCACACGGATAAAGGCAGTGAATTTACCAACCGTCCGTTCCAAGACATGCTTAAAACGGAAGGGACACATTTCTATACGACCAACAGCGAGGTCAAAGCCTCCGTCGTGGAGAGATTCAACCGCACGCTCAAGTCTCGCATGTGGCGGTACTTTACGTGGAAAAACACGTTGAAATACATCGACGTCTTGGGGCCACTGGTAAAGGCCTACAACCATTCGCACCACTGTACCATTGGAATGAAGCCCGCGGAAGTCACCGGTACGAATGAAAGCGTTGTTTGGTGACGTCTGTATGCGCCGCCCAAGCCACCCGCTAAATTTCGGTTTAAAGTGGGAGATAAGGTTCGAGTCAGTAAACGGCGGCTGACCTTTGAAAAGTCCTACCTCCCATCCTGGACCGAGGAGATATTTACGATAGCCAAACGCAGTGGGCGGCAAACAAGACCCGTGTACGCATTAAAAGATTATAACAGTGAAGCTATTCGCGGTTCGTTTTACGAGGAAGAATTGCAAAAGGTGCGAAAAACCGATGATCTGAACCGAGTGGAGAAAGTGATTCGGAAGT